CTGGTAATACCTTGGCTTCGCTTTCTAAACAAAGTATTTATATTTTACACATGTTGATGAACTAATGTCAGCGGCCTGCTTTACAAAGTTAGGAAAAAACGGCGATTACCGGAAAGCGAAACTAAATTTTACAAGAAATTAAACTGTTAAGAAAAGATGTCTGACAATGATGATGATTTCATGTGTGTTGATGATGAAGATTATGGATTGGTGAGTAATTCTGCGTTGAATACGCGGAATACTCGTTACTTCAAAAATTCTCTAATGACGAATTACTTGTTAAGGAATACTCTGAGGATAGCAACTCGGAACCAGACGTCGACCTGGAAAATCAGTACTATAATAGTAAAGCTTTGAAGGAAGAGGATCCCCAAACGGCGTTGGTATCGTTCCAGAAAGTATTGGATTTAGAGAACGGCGAAAAAGGCGAATGGGGTTTTAAAGCGTTAAAACAAATGATTAAGATAAACTTTAAATTGGTAGGTAACTTAAAATGAAATACAGAAAATATCTTAATTATAATTGCTTGGTAGAATAATTACGAGGAAATGATGATACGCTACAAACAATTGCTAACTTATATCAAAAGTGCTGTAACTCGAAACCATTCTGAGAAATCTATTAACTCTATATTAGATTACATTTCCACTTCGAAAAATGTAAGAATTGTAAGATATGTGCTAGGAATTTAAATTTAAATTTTAAATCTTTCAGATGGAATTGTTACAAAATTTTTACGAAACCACTTTGGAAGCCTTAAAAGATGCCAAAAATGATCGTCTGTGGTTCAAAACAAATACCAAACTTGGTAAGCTTTACTTCGACCGCAATGAATTTTGTAAACTTCAAAAAATTTTGAAGCAGCTGCATCAGTCATGTCAAACCGACGACGGTGAGGAAGATTTAAAGAAAGGAACTCAATTGTTGGAGATTTATGCTTTAGAAATCCAAATGTACACAGTCCAAAAAAATAATAAGAAACTAAAGGCTTTGTATGAACAATCACTACACATTAAGTCAGCAATACCTCATCCCTTGATAATGGGTGTGATTCGCGAATGCGGTGGTAAAATGCACTTGCGCGAAGGAGAGTTCGAAAATGCACATACCGATTTTTTCGAAGCCTTTAAGAATTACGACGAGTCAGGATCACCAAGACGTACGACTTGTTTGAAATATTTGGTGCTGGCCAATATGTGAGTATGAAAAGGATTATAGGATTGCTTTTCTTTGTAATTGATTATGCATTTTAGGCTAATGAAATCAGGCATAAACCCTTTTGATTCCCAGGAGGCTAAGCCGTACAAAAATGATCCGGAAATTTTGGCCATGACTAATCTGGTGGTGTCATATCAAAATAATGATATTAACGAATTTGAATCTATATTAAGACACAATCGTAGTAATATTATGGCGGATCCTTTTATAAGAGAACATATAGAGGATTTGCTGCGTAATATACGTACTCAGGTTTTAATCAAGCTTATACGTCCCTATAAAAACATAGCTATACCCTTCATAGCAAATGCCCTAAATATAGAACCGAGCGAGGTGGAGAGTCTTTTAGTTTCTTGCATTTTGGATAAGTATGAATATTTTCTCTAATAGAATTACAATTTTGATCGATTTAAATTTCTAATGTTTTACCAGCACTATTCAAGGCCGTATTGATCAAGTTAATCAAGTCCTTCAGCTGGATAAGGAGAGTAGCTGTGGTTCTCGCTACAACGCCATCGACAAGTGGTCAAATCAAATACAATCCTTGCAAATGGCTATAATTAACAAGATGGCTTAAATACATAAAATAATTTCTTGTGAATCTAAACCAAACTTCGTTTGTTATTGTTATTGATTATAGTTACCTTTTACTTTATGTTATTGTTAGCGTAAATAGAGGAAGCGCAGGTACCAACAAAGTGTAACTATCGCAAAAATTTACAACCGTAATTACCATCGCGATGTAGTTTGATTTTTTAAAAATCTTATCAACTAATTTTTTATTAGCTCTCTCACTCTGCCATATTTTTAAAAATATAAAATTGTTCCGTTTGCTTTAAACAAATCTTCATTTGGAGAATTTGAGAAATGTTAATAAATATCCTGGGATTGGTTTTGACGTTTGCTCCATTTGCTTTTCGTATTTAAAATTTCACCTTTCAGGGGCGAGGAAGAAACGTGGTGAAAGTTAGTGCACGAAAAGGACGCAGTAATGGTATAGCAGCCCAAATTACCGAGATATGCAAGACTCCGTATTTTTATGGATTCGAAGCAAAAAAAAGGTCCTGTGTATTTCAGTACTACCCATCAACGCTGAAAATGTGTTGTGTTTCGTTTAAGATCTGTGCTAAACAGTTCGCTAATGCCTTAATTTCAGTGTGGCGTTCGTGTGGAGTTGTGTGGATTGAATGTCGAAGACACGATTTGTTATGTACATTGAAATCGTTGCTGGAGACGATGAAAATTATGTGGTGTAGAAGACTTTGATCTAGATAGGATATCGAAGCCAATTAAGGAAGCCACCGTGTACGTTTTCTTTGGCTATGAGCAGCTATCGATTTCACGCAAAGGTGTAAAGTAGCACAAACGATTTGTTATTGTTTTAAAAGGGCGTTTTTATTGCGTAAGACTTTCCATCTTCGTTTATTCTTCGTTCTATTACTGAGGTAACCTTAGAGGGTACTTCACGAAGTATATGGCAAATAACCTGAACCATTTGCATGATTATTTTATTATATTATATTATATATTGTATTATATTATTAGTGATTAATATCTAATAAGAACAATTGCAGAAAGTTAAAGAAAATGGCAGAGTCCATCGTTTTTCACTACATCAGTTATTTATTTCTATTTGCTGCATATTTACGTTAAACTTTCAAGTGTACTTCCTTGCTTTAGTTTACTTAGATAAATTAAAAAGAAGTAAAAACATTATAAGCAACGAGGGCCAACCATTAAAGAATCTAGACCAATACGCTTAGTACAATTATTCGCTGGTTGAGGTGCATCCTACCACTTGTAAAAACCATAGAAACGACGAGCGGCTACCGTCAATCCGGCTATGGCAATCGCGATGGGAAAGAACAACAAAAGAAAGATGGACGTTCGTTGTTATAAATTATCAGTTCCTGGTCATGACTGGTTGCGCAACTGCCCGGAATGAGCAGAAACAGAGGATGATGCAGAGCGTGGTATTTGTCACTGCAAAAGTTTTGAGCACGGTAGAGTTCGAGTAGAATTTAGTGAGATATTGCAGGTGATAACTGGCAGTAACGAATTTTTCACCGCCATTGACGAGTTCGTTAGGAGAGTGTTCGAAGAGCTACAGCGCTTAGAAAGACAGCGAGGAGCGAGAGTGGAAGCCAATACTGTATTCCACTGAGGTCCCACCGTATAAGGTGCAGTAAATGCAACCATCCTTCGCGAAGTAATGCCTATGGTGCTTTCGCGGAGGGAAGTGGTTTAAGTAATGTGTATGTGGGGGTTAGATTTAGTACGTAGCCTCCACGGATGGCACATCGCGCATGCTGCAGGCACTGGTCCGTAGTATTTTTCTAAGATTTTTACATCCAGGTCGCTTAGCGAACGAAAACTTACAGAAGATGTTCAAAAACGTTAAGTATAAAAATAATTGAACAAAATATGAATATTAAACTCACACAGAAATTGTAAGAAAAGTATTATTAATGTTATTACAATTTTAGACTAATGAAATAAATTCTTAGACTAAACAACTAAGACATTGAGCACTAGCAACACAGGCTATCGGCTTTAATTTATAAAGATACATTAGATATTCAGCCTAGCAGTTTTAATTGTATTGATTTTTTTTTTTTTTTCGATTTTGTTTTTTTTTATAAAAGTTTCGCTGGAAGTCCAAAACTAGGTTCTTAAATTTAGCTTACCAATTATATTGATTCATGACAAAAATGAACTCCAACGGGTTGATTTCCATGGAATAATTGTAGTACGCAACGTAGGCTGGTATATTTCCAGCTGGTTGCAGTGCATCAGACTTACGTAGCTAATTTTTTTTATATTAAATGCATGCATTTACTCGTAGTTTTAATTCTATCATTTGTCTATATTTGTCTTTGAACTGGTCCGATTGTAAGCTTGATTATCAAAGGCTATTATAGCTACTTGTTGTCCCCCTATGCACACTTATGAAGCGAATGTATGTAAGCAGTATACTTCACTTGCTTTGCTCTCGTTTTATTTTAATTATTTGTTTTGTTTTATATTTTGTATAGTTTTGATAGCATTTATCTGTTGATCACTTGTTTTATTCAAAAAGTTACTTAAAGAGTTTGTATCCAACAAAAAGTTCCATCCTGGCTGAACTAATGAAATTACCATGAAACGTACAAGTTCTAGTATTATGTTGCCAAATTCTTTAAATAAGGACATGCGATGTTTTGGGCATTGTCCAATATGCTCGACTTCGTGAAAAGTATGCCTTTGCATCATTTTCGTTGTATGTTTATCAAAAGGACTAGGAAATTGGGCTATCCAATCGTAGGCCTTACACGTCTGTAACGCTTCTTCTCCAGTACCTTGCTGTGCCGCGCCTGGCGGTCGTTTGCGCAATCTTCCCGTAGTGGAAGGGGGAGAAACGGTGTACCTGATTCCTGATTCTGACTGCTATCCGCTCTTTTAGGAGCCACTGGACGGAGACCTCTACGATACGATCATTGAGCCATCTCCCGGTAATCTAGAAGCAGTGAAAGAATTGCTGGGCTTTTATGCGCCGCTTTTACCTCGGACATCACTAGGCGAATTTCCGCTTGACCTGGCGAAGCGTGCTGGACATCGAGAAGTGGTTGCGTTTTTGGAAAGTTATATATTGCCTCCAGCAAGAACTTCGAAATCGCAATGGTATCATGGGACATTAACACGTGCCGAAGCAATAGAAACTCTAACGGAATTTTCAAAAATTTTGCGAAATACAAATTCAGAAGATGTTAACACTAATACGAATTCATCCCCTGCCGAAACCGATACGGCTGGTTGTTTTTTAATCCGCTTCTCAGATAGAAAAAGTGTTGGTTCTGGGTATGTTTTGACGATGTTCTCCGACAATACCGTTAAAAATTTCATTATTTCCCAATCAGTAAGTGAACATTAACGCAATAATAAATTTAAAAAGTTGCTGTGCAATAATAACAGACTTATCTTCAGTCCAAATTTTTGCTTATTGACGACGGCCCTTATCTATCATAATTAGCACACTTAGTTGAACATTTTATGCATTTTGCTGACGGTTTGCCCGTGAATCTCCGCTATCCTATTACACCAAAGCCAAAACCACCGCTATCTTATTTTCTACTATGCCAAGAACAAGTCATAAAAAATCTTTGGATATTATTATTGGTTTAGAAAAAGGATCGGATCAGTTGAATGTAAATAAAAATACTTCGTACTGTACAGAGCAGTCCCATCAGTTATTGCAAAATGCACAAAACAATAAAAAAAGGTCAAAAGAAATATCATCTGTTTTTAGTACACTTAGGTTACGCAGTCCCAGGAAAAATGTGGAAAACAAAGGCACTTTACGAAAATAAAATAAAACAACGTCAAATATAAATCCGACCAACGGCAAGTTAAAAATATCTAGTGAAGAAGGAATACAAAAGGCGGAGGATTTTATTAAAAATCTTACATTTCCCAACAGATTTTAATGAATCGAATATATCCACTCTATTAATGAATGAATTTTATAATGTCCCTAAGAATAATTCAGTTGTTGACGTGGTTTAAAAGGCATCGAACTTTAAAGAAGACTTATCTCCGAATGATGAGGTTATCAAAATATGTCTTGAAGAGAAGACTGAAGATGAAGTTGACTACTTCACAAAAAGCGACGTGGTTATTGAGCATGAAAGAAAGCAAACGTAAGTTACGCAGGCTTTCAAATTTTATTATATAAAAGCAAAATCAATTTTTTTTCAGCACTTATCATCAATCTTGCACCGAGGAATATGTAGCTGTCACTGAAGAAGGTTCCATGAATACTTCCCAAGAAGGTAATACCTTAGAGAATAAGGCTGTAATGCCTGATATTGATTCAGGGACTGCTAAAGATGTCAAGAACTTGGGTTACCTTGTATCAAACACATCAAACCGGAATGAGGTCACAAATTGTAAAACCGCATGCAATTACTTTATACCAAGAGACCATTTGGTGCTTGAGATGATAGTAGGTGAAGGTGAGTTTGGTTCAGTCTACAAGGGACTTCTTATTCAACCAGAAGCTAATAGTGGATTATCTCAAAAACGTCGAGAAATCGCAATTAAAACATTACGTGACGATCACTACCCTTCGAATAGCCGGGAGTTCTTACGAGAAGCGTCCGTTATGATACACTTAAAACACCACTGCATTGTCCAATTGATTGGTATTTCAAAGGAGGAAACCCTTATGATGGTGCAGGAGTTGGTGCCTTTAGGTTCGATGCTGCATTTTATCTTAGAACAAAAAGACACTATAAGAGTTCACTAGGAGTTAAAATTGTGGGCTTCGCAAATAGCATGTGGTATGCTTTCATAATATTGAATTACAACTCTTTTGCTTCAAGGTAATTCTTATAGGAATGGAGTATCTGGCATCTAACCATTTCGTGCATCGAGATTTGGCAGCTCGCAACATATTACTCGCTTCTCGAAATCAAGCAAAAATTAGTGATTTCGGATTGTCCCGCGCGCTTGGAAGCGACGGCGGGTGTTACCAAGCTAGCCAAGGCGGCAAGTGGCTCATTAAGTGGTTAGTGAAATTTCAATTTTTGAAAAAATAGAGCTCTTATCATTCCGACTTACATATCAACAGGTACGCTCCGGAAAGTTATAACAATGGGCTTTTTTCGCAAGCCAGTGACGTCTGGTCTTTCGGAATTACACTTTGGGAAATTATTTCTTTTGGTAAAGCTCCATTCCAATTAATTGAGAGTGGATAACGCTTGCCACAACCACCGCTTTGTCCAATTCATATTTATATAACTTACATAAAGGGAATAATTAATGTTTAAAAAAAAAAGTAAATGAAGACATTGTATCTTTATTTTTCGCAAATTGTCGTAAAAATAAACAAACATAAAGCTGTACAATTTAGACATAGCCCTTATAAGCCATTAATAGCTTGTTTAACATTTTCCGTCGAAGCCAACTTAAGAGCGCCAACTATATTGTTCAAATTTTTCTCATTAAAGCTTTTGTTTTGGAATTGGGTTATAACCGGCAATCTATCCCCATTAGGCATCACAATCGGCCATTAAACCCTGAAGAAGGAAACAGAGGATGTTAACAGGATTTCAAAATCTACTAGCTAGGAGCACTTATTACTTTTTCGACGCCGACACTCAATTTCATTATTAACTGTTTATCGCCGTCCGTCTCCAGAGCTAATTCTTTTTCAACGCTAAAGGTAGGCGTTTTTCCAACGATCCATTCTCAAGAACTAAATTCATGACGCAAAACATCAATTCCTGGAAACCACTTTTCTGTTGAATTTATGTGTTGAAATCCCCTCTGTTTCATGGTCTGAATATTGCCGCCATCTTCCAGTTCTGTGGCTGAGTGCGTAAAAATTCATAACCAATTGCCGACAGTAGCTGCGCTATATTTACGGCGCTATTAACATCACATAAATTTTTAATGGCAGATTTTTTGGAAGCCGTGGCTTTGCCTATATAAGTTGCCTTAGCCGAAAGAATAGTGAAAATAACGATTTTTTGCATAAGAAATAGATGGAGTGTACCTCTTCTCTAACAAGAGAATCTCCTAAATGGGTTTTGTTTGCATTCACTAATAATGTGCAGTGATGATAAGCATTTGGATGCATAAGTGGTGCAGAATAGAGGTGCAGAAGCAGCCTACTTTGCCGCTCAACGTGCTCGTTTTCCAATAAACCGTGTCATGGGCATAGCTCAGGTTTCGGTAGTGCGTTTCCGAATTATATGGTCTGCTGTGCCACATGACAAAAGAAATATATTAACTTTAAAAAAGAACAAAAACAAAAAAAAGGATTTGCACTTGAAATAGTGCAAAACAAATAAAAAAGAAAAGGTTCAATCAAACCTTCCAATGAGCAAATACTTTTTGTATCCGTTTATGTGTTGTCCGTCCTCTGCGCCGCTCGTTGGTCCCTTCTTAGTCCGTCAGTAACCGTTCCCAGTCCCCTTACCTTCACTCGTGCGTACATTCACTCATACTCCGCCTCAGCGGAGCCTCACATTTTTCTTTTTCCTTGTAGCCAAGCAATTCTAATTTCAATATTTATTCATTACTGCTGGCATTTTGATTAACGTTCAATAATAGTTGACTGTTGAGAGATGAAGCGCCAGCTAAAGATGTAACATTTTCGTGAAAGACATCCGAAGGTTGTCCAAGTTGCTGAGGTTTTACAAAAGCAGATGTGGGCGGACTATTCACAATATCGTCATCCTTTCTAAGCAATGCAGATGGCAGGTCAAGCAGGAAAGTTATTAAGTAGTAACCAATTTGCTCACCCGCCTCAATGAACACCACATGTTAATAGCAAACCTCCTTGTGCCTGTGCGTTCGCCGCTTTAATAACGATATCTTAATGTTTTCCTTTTTACGATAATTAGAGCGCAACTTCAATATTTTGCCAAGGAAAAAAAGCCTTCCTTTTTGTTTTATTTCAAAGCTTTTCTGCACATATATTTTGCACTTTTAACAACATCGGCATATGCTTTGAATCGTATCGGAATATATTCGTATATAAATCAGAAATTTTCTTACAGTAAATTATATTTTTTATTAGTAGTTAAACTTGTAATTCCATTGAATAAAAATTTTTCTTCTCGTAAATCTGTCGCTTGCAATTCTTTTATGCTGTTTTTCACTGTGTGCGTGTGTGTTGTGTCGTTATTGGTTTTATAAATTGCACATAATAGCCAATAATCCATAACTTTTTAATTAGACAAAATAAAATTTTCATGCGACTATTTAAGAACAAATCATCAAAAAAAGCAACAATAAAATTTTAGATGCATTAAACAAATTTTTTTAATAGGTTATCATTAAGTTGCAAAAAGTCGACTCACAATTTCCTTTATAAGGTAAGTAAAAGTACTAATATGCTGGGTAAAATCGCTTAACTTAATAAAACATTAAACGAATTTGTTCTCCGTATTTTATCTCGATCAGAAACACACCTTCCAGACAGAACCGAATCATTCGTCTCCATTTTTTCTTTTTAATCAATTCTTTTTTTTTTCGCAATTATTCTTTTGTGCTACAAACATTTGAGGAACTTTTGGTTTTCTTTTTTTCACTTAATTTTCATTTGCTTTATTACAAAATACCCCATAACTGATTTCTTTATTTTCTGGGACGAACAATTTATCAACAGGCTTCTCTGCTTAATTAGGAAATTTGTATTCTATCCAAGATCTGAAGGTTGAGTGTCTGCTGCCAGGATGTTCCTTTTTACTTCAACTTTAATGTAATTTCAATTATTTTAAATTTGATTTTATGCATAAATTTTTGTGTAAATTCTATTTGTTCTAAAAAAGTTCTTTTCTTTTTCCTTTTTTTTCTTAAATATTTCTTATAACAAAAGGTTTTTATTTTCTTTTCAACAACTTTAACTTTACACTTCCACTGCTCTGCAAAGACTCTCCGCTTTTCTGTCCAAAAAAAAAATCAAAGACACTCCCTCAAAACCTTTTCTCTTTTTTTGCATAGTGGCAAGCCGCTATTCTTGCGATCATGCGATATCGAAAAACAGTATGCCGTTATTACGACATTCCTGATCAAAGCAGACCGACAGAACCCTTACTCAATATTTATACGCGGACGTTACAACCGATATGACTTGTACACAAAGCATTTTAATTTTTTCGCCGGGTGTTCTAATGATATTCTTTAAATTGTTGACGGTGTTCCATCTCGAAGTCGAAATATTCCGAGTAGCTTGTAATACAGATAAACTGTTGGTAAAAATGGCTTGAATGAATTTTCTTGCCAATAATAATCTTTCTCACTTCTTCACCGAGGACAGATTTGTTTGAATTAAGAAGCTTGGGGACTGTTTTAGCAATTAACTCATAAAGTCTATTTTCTAAAGTTGGGAGACTAGTTTCAATTATAATATTATTTATGGCCGTCGTCCGAAAAGCATAACAACTTGCTCTGAGGGCTTGGTGATAGACCGGTTTGAGGATGTCGATATTAGATTTGCAGCTATTGCTATTGCAGCTATCAAAGCATAGTCAATCTTGCATAAAACAAGCATTTTGGTAAGATAAGCAGTAGTGTTAACGTACGCATGGCTTTTCCAAGCGACGTACTGTGTGAAATTTACCCTTGTTAAAAAAGAATTTTTTAACCGAAGACGTGCGAGCGATGGAGCGTCTGCACGTTTAGTATCGATAAGTCATTAAAATGCATCAGTAGATTTCTTGTATCGCAAATCTGCTTTTGACAAATGTGGATATTTTTTGATTTTTGTGTAGAAGTTTTAGCCCCTGACGAGTTCGTCCATGTGGAGACTTCTTGTCCAATAGATTCGAGGACGTTGATTGCCTTCGTGCTATCTTTTTCTTCCGTAATAATGTATACATCGTCCGCGTAGAGCCATTGTTCGATTCTCCGTCCACGGCAAAGAATTTTGTTAATTTCATTGAAAGCGATCTGGAAAAACGTGACACAAAGGGGAGATCCTTGCGGAATGCCATTCATTATCGGAAAGGAATCAGACGGATGATTATTAATTCTAACTTTAAACCGCCGATGCCACATGAATGATTTGATGTAGTTGAAGAATTTGGGTCCAATATTCCATGATTTCAAGACCCTAAAAGTGAGATGAAGACCAACTCTGTCAAATGCTTTTTCGAAATCAATTGAGAGAATTGTTATATGGTTCCGTTCGGAAATTGCTTTGCTTGTAAATTAATCAAAATGTAACAGAGCGCCGATGCACTCTCTACCCCGCTTAAAACCAATTTGTTGCTGTGTGATCAGGTTCTTGAACTCAAGAAACTAAGATAATCTAGATGCCATAATCTTTTTCAATACCTCTGAGAGGCAAGAGAGAAGAGAGATTAGGCGATAATGCGATGGGATGGAGGCATTTTTTGACTATGAAATTGGAACAACTGTTGCCAGTTTCCACATGTAGAGTATATGGCTAGTCAAAAATACCGTATTATATAGGTCCAGTAATTTCCTTTTACTTGAATTAGACAGAGTGCTGATCATTTTATATGAGATGCGATCTAGATCAGGTGTCCTCCTTTTCGATTTGGAAAGACAACTTTCAAGTTCTAAGGTAAATATGCAATTTTCCAGGGACATGGCACATCTGGTGTTCCAGCCGCATATAACTAATGGGAGGGAAAGCGCGGAGAATAAATTATAAAGTTCTGTCTGAGAAAACGATTACGAAGGTGAAAGATAGCGTGAGAGCACTGTGAATTATATGTTTAAATTATTTGTATCGCTACGACTTGTATGTATGAGCTTAAATTTACGCGTTTGTGAGGTATATTTGATTTTATAAAATGGGAAACTCCTTGTTTGGAATATAAATTTTGATCAGCATTCGTGAAGTATCTAGTGTATGAACGGATGGAATAGGCTTAAAAGAACTTCTACAATGGGTGTCTTGAAGGGATGTAAAGGACGGTTTAAAAACACTTATGAGTGCACGGAGTTCATCAAAATTCTTAATAAGTCCCTTAATGTTCCTTTGTAGAATTTTAAAAACTTTATTTAATTGTAATGACATGGAAAAGGAGTGGTAGGTGGGTTAAGTTGACATGACAGCGTCTCCGTCGAAAAGGTCGCTATAGGAGTTTTGCGTAAATAATTTGTTCTTACCAGCAGAATAATCTGTACCTAGGTGATTGCGCACATTTGAAGTGCAATGAGTGGGCGCACGTGAATAATTTGAAATTGAAGATTGATTAAGGGATGAAAGATTGGATTCATTCCAACCTGCAATTTGTTGATAAGAATTGAGAGGTGGCGGTTCTGGAGAATTTAGTTTA